AACCAGCTAGATCAGATTCTCTGGGAGTAGAGCCTGGACTATGGTGTGTCTCAAAAATGCACCAGGTAACTCTAAGTGCAGGTGATTCTCAGGCAGGCTACTCAAAGTGTGATCCGTGGATCAGAGTATCAGCATCACCTGGGAGCTTGTTAGAAATGCAAATTCTCAGACCCACCCCAGACCTATAAGAATCTGTATTTTAACAAGCTCTCCAGATCTGGATGCACGCTTAACTTTGAAAAACCTTACAGAAGAATTTCTCTCTCTGTCTCTCTCAACATTTTGTTCACTTTATTAATGTTATAAAGATTTGCTGGTTCTGCAAAGGAGTTAATTATCTTTGGGTGCGGTGACTTATTGTCCCATAGAAGACCCTTTATAAGTGTGAGTGACTAAGTGAAACAGAGACCAATCCTAGTGGAGAATGCAGTTCAAGTCCCAAGGTCTCTGTGTAGTACTTATGCTTAAGTTTCCCTTGCAACAAAGGCGGTATCTGGAAACTTTTTAAACTCATCTTTAGAAGACTAGGTAGGTTTTTCTAAGTTGACAAATGTTTTCGACCAGAACCAGAAGTTTCTTGAAGAGGAGTATTTTAGGGAAAAAAAAAAATCTCTTTTAGGAAAGAAGATCTAGACCTATATTATAAAATATTTTAAAATTAATAACATTTGGATTTTAGCAATGACTTCAGTTTCACTTATTTCTTTTACAAGAGTAAAATTAACTTTATTTAAACATAGGAGGCACAGAATGATCTGTTTTAATAAAGGTATTTCTGTATCTATCTGCATATATGCAGAGAAAGATGTTTACCTGATGTTATTTATGAGTGGGTGAGATTTGAAGTGTTTTGTAAACTTTTTATTTGTACTTTTCTACATTGCTGACATTCCTAAAAATGTATACTATTTTTCCAAAAATACTGAAGTTATTTTTCTAGTAAAAAAAAAAACCCTCATTTCATTAATTTGCCCAGGATGATCAGGATCTGCGTACCAATTCACATCAACCAAACTCACAGAGACTGTGAATCAGAATCACAAGATATTAATTAACATACCCATTCCTTAATCAAGACATGGCATCTGCTTCATGGTGACCATATGTACTCAGGAGTCTAAATTACATATTAAAATGTTGCTTGATGAACAATGTCTTCTCAGGAAATGTCTTCGGAACTATCGTTGACTAATGGTTTGTCCTTCACTGAAGTAATCATTCTTTGTAAAGAACTGTTTTCTCATCCTAAAATCAGGACTCCATTCTTCCACCCTAAATATTTATCGTAAGGTCTAGTTTTCCCAAATTGTGACTGATATTGCTTACACTGGAGGAATTTCCAAATCACAAATGCAAAAGGGTCATGCTGGCAACATTGTCTTCATCCCAAGCATAAAATTAACATCCACGGTAGCTACAATATCAGAAGTTGGCATCTTATCTTTATGTCTAAATCTTGGGTGTGCTCAACTGGGGACGATTTGAGCCTTCTGAGTACCAAATACATGTTGGTTTTTCTAAAAAGTTCATGAGGAACAAAAAGAGTAAATGCAATGTAAGGAAGTAGAGCCTGTGTTGTTGTTTTTTTTTTTTAAGATTTAATGAAAAACATGTTAAATTCAATCCCAAGATGATTAATTATCGTTAGCATATCTCACTTATTAAAAAGAAATAAACATTCCACTCCTTTCTTGAGTTGGCTTCAGTTGAACTCTTTCATAGGGGAGATGGGGGAGGGGTCTTTCTACTCTACTGGTATAAATGCTCCAAGATGTGTTAGTGTCATAAGTCAGGAACTCAACTCAATACTAGGAGATATTATTTTCTGTGCAAGTATTTACTATCTTGCTCTAAATTTTAAGTAATTAAACCATGCTGTATCAACTAAGTTTAAAAACAATTATTATTCTACTGATTTTATGTATATGGGCTTTAAATCCTAGTAGGTTAGAATTCTAGTTCTCCTATTTTTAGCTGGAGACCAAGTATAAAACAATCCTCGATCTACTTATTTTATAAAATAGGAATAATATCACCTACCTACTTTTTAGGGTTTTCATAAGGTTTACAAAAGTATTAAATGTTTAGAGTACATGTAGGAGCTCAATAAATGAAATCCATCTGATAATCAAAGGTGTTTAGAAGTGCCTATTCACAAAATATTCTCTGACATAAATTGTACCGTGTTCTTAGAATGTATATATATGCATAACTAAATCACTTTGCTGTACAGTAGAAATTAACACAACACTGTAAATCAACTATACTTTAATAAAATAAATTTTTTTTAAAGTTTATCAAATTTTTGTTTGAGAAAACCTTTTCTCCCACTTCTCATTTCTTAAATCATTGGCCACACTTGGAGGAGGTGGTCAGAACATACAAAAGGTACAGGTAATATCTAAATCACTCTCAATCAAAATTCAGATGTAGGCAAAAACACACCCACTTAAGTTTACTTGGTTATTTCCCTAGAAACTAATGCATCATGTAATGCATATAAACACACATTAATAGTGTATTTTATACATTAATATAGAGCATGCAAGGACATAGAATATGTTCATCCTCCTACATCTGTGACAGTTTATTTTTCTTCTTCTCCTTCCTCTTCTTCTTCTCTTCCTTCTTCTTCTTCTTCATTTGTCTTCTACCTACTTCCTCTCATCCCTTATAAGTTTGGGTTCTTTTCTCTCTCTCCTCTTTTATTGGGGAAAACACAGGCTTGGCTATGCAAATGTTTCTCAAAGTTTTAACTCCAGTCAGTATCTTTTTCTGGAACTACACATCTGCTTTCAACTACCTGCTTGGCATCTCTCTGTGGACGTCCTGATGGCACATTAAACTGAATATACCCAAAGTTGCACTCATCCTCATTTTCCCCCAAACTAGCATCTCCTGAGAATCTTATGTCTAAGACCAGAAATAAGCTGGTTTTGATCCTTCCTCTCCTGATAGCCTATATCAAAGGATCTTAAGTCCTTTGCCTTGATGTCCTGATTATCTTAATCTGTCCTTCCCATTCCTATTTCTACCTTTCTACTGAGAGATTCCTACCTCAATTTTTATAAAAACCTCCTGACTGGTTTCCCTATCTCCAGTCTCCTCCCACTACAATCTAGCCTACAAATGAAACCTGGATGAATCTTCCTAAATCAGAAAAGCAATAATTTACTTTCACTGTCAAAATCTTCCATTGTGAAACAGAGGAAATATAGACTCATGCTTGGCATCTGAAGCTTCTCTACCAGATGTGATCAAGTTATGAGCCCTATCGCCCTCTAGTCCTTTGATCCCGAGGATGCATAAATAAATGACCCCACAGGGACTTCCCTGGTGGCACAGTGGTTAAGAATCTGCCTGTCAATGCAGGGGACATGGGTCCAAGCCCTGGTCCGGGAAGTTTTCACATGCCGCGGAGCAACTAAGCCCATGTGCCACAACTACTGAGCCCATGTGCCGCAACTACTGAAGCCCGCGCGCCTAGAGCCCACGCTCTGCAACAAGAGAAGCCACCACAATGAAAAGCCCGTGCATTGCAACGAAGAGTAGGCCCCGCTTGCTGCAACTAGAGAAAGCCCACGTGCAGTGAAGACCCAGCACAGCCCCAAATAAATAAATAAATAAACAAACAAATTTAAATAAATAGCCCCACAAAGCCAGATCTGGCTTGCCCATGTAATTTTCTTTGGCTTGCACAATGGCTTTATAAATTTTTAATTATAAGTTGCTTATTTTGAATTAGTTGCTAATATTTACACATTGGAAGATTTCACAAAAATCCAGATTCTGGCTTCTCATGAAAGGTTAGAATATCTGGCAACTTTGGGTCCACATTCCCACACGACAAGAGGGCTGAAACTAGGCAGTGAGTGCCTGTTTATGAATGAAGAAACATGACCCAGGTCACCACAGCCTTCATCTGATTGGTATCATTCAATGCGCTACTGGCTTGGTGTCTGTAGGCACGTGAATTGATGAAGTTTGCCCTATACCACCTAGAGCTCCAGCCAAGTATATCGTTCCCAAATGCATAGTATGTCCTTGCTATGTTATTCCATCTTTCTAGAAATGCCTTCTCCCTCCATCTTTCATGTCTTTAAGGCCCATTTCTAACACTGCATCCTCCATGAAGCTTTCTCTACCTCCCTGTTGGACATTACTGCCTCATTTTCGTTCCTCTGTTAACACTGTGTTGTTCTCTTATGGCCCATTTCTCATTCTCTGCTGGATCGGCCATTGGTATCCTTGATTTCTCCCTGTTTTTCAGGGACTTGCATTGACAAACACCTCAGGCTTTCTTGAGGAGGGGTTTTTCCTCTTGACCTGGACCTTCTTCCTCCTCCCCTAGAGACTGAGCGAGTCCCTCTTCCCACCCACTTTCCCCTCAGGGATCCGCCTGTCTACGCAGCAGAGATGCCTTGTTCTGCTTGGTAGCAAAGGCCCAATTCAGCAGGTGAGCCTGAGGTGAGCAATACCTGAGTGTGTACATTTGCCCAATTCTGAAGTTCAGTGTTAGGAAACCCACTGTCGCCACACATCTAAACCAGGATTTCCCTTCCAGGTTTTATCAGCAAACAAAACTAATATTTTCATTTTCATCTGCTTGAATACTTATCTCACAACTGCTTTCAAGCTCGAGCAGGGAAAAGAAGGGGTTCTCATGGGGAGCCTCTAACCCTAACAGTGAGGACTCATTCTCGAATCTTCTGCAGCTCCTAGCAAACGTCATTGTGCAGATACTCAAAAAACATTTATCAAACTGAATCGAAAGATATAACCAATGTGCATAAAATTCATAGAATATAATTCTTCTTAGGCTTATGTCCCCATATATAAACTGTATAAATAATAACTTAAACATCTGTAAGATTAACAAAATACAACATATGCCGTATATAACAGAAAATATTTGTTTCCTATTTACATTTCCATTGTATGTAAATCACTGCACATCATAGCATATATCGAAAAAAGGAAAAGAAAGGAAAAAGACAAACCTTAGAAGTCAGTGAAGAAAGCATCCCACGAAAGGATAATCAGCAGTCTCAAGGCTCTTGTTTCTTGCTCTTTTTAAATTTTCTGGTTGTTTCTTGACGAATGGTATCATACTCCAAAATGGCCATTTTAGAAAGTCTCTGTAAGTACTGAGATGGTGCTCCAGTGAGAGGATCGCTGAAGCCAGAACCTGTAAAGAAAAAACCCCAAAACTGTTATTACAATTAAATTAAGCACACATGAATGATATTCTCTAAAAGAGTATACACCAAATATCTGTTCCTCAAATCACCATTAAACACCACTAGCTCGGATGGGAGGGAGGGAGACGCAAGAGGGAAGAGATATGAGAACATATGTATATGTATAACTGATTCACTTTGTTATAAAGCAGAAACTAACACACCATTGCAAAGCAATCATACCCCAATAAAGATGTTAAAAAAAAATTAAGCACAGCCAAACAAAAAAGGCAAAAACAAAAGAACACCACTAGCTCTTCATATAACACATTCTTTGAAGTAGAAATGAAAGCTACTTAACTTTCTAAAGTGACTGGGATGGCAAGTCATATCAAAAAATATTTAACTAAAAAATGCTTAATGTTTATATTTAATGATATAAAACTGAGTCTGTCGTGTGCTTCTTAAAACATGGGATGGCTGTGGAATTTATTCCAAAATAAAAGGCATGATCTCCATAAATAACTCATTTCATACCTTACATGCTTATCAAGTTACTGTCTCCAAACAAAACGATTTCTCATAAACGTTGAGGTGAAAGAGTAAAATTATAAAGTAAAATAAGTCACTCACTAACTGAAACAGCATTAATCAAGCTTCTATTTTGAAGGATAGTAATAACAATAATAACAGATAACAATTATTGAATGATCTCTCTATTTCAAGTATTTTTCATCTATATCATCCACACAACAATACTATGAAGTAGGTAACTAGTACTATCTTGGATTACAGATTTAAAAAAGAGTTTAGACATTGTTAGAGGCAGGATTTAAACCCAGATGCATCAATTCAGAGTTCCCATGTAATCACAAATATTGCCCTAAATATGTAATATGTATAAATACTTTTATTTAGAAGCATACAAGGCTTTGAAAATAATACACTGATCCATATTGCTTTAAAATACTATTGTTTAACTTCAGTTTCACGTGCCAAAAATAAAAATTGACCTCAATTCTCCAGTGTGGTTGGTATTTTTGTTTGTTTTGTTTTATTTGGGTGTGTAATGAGAGTGGGAATTTCAGACAGAGAGTAGAAGGGAAGAATCGATCAGGATTCCAGTTCTTAGCAGTAAGATGGACTTGACACTTAGACTCTCTGGCTACAAAATAACTAGATTCTAAGCATTAAGCAAACCTCAAAAAACTTTAAAGAATTGGTATCATACAGACCAATACAATTAAGTTGGAAGTTGTTAATAATAAGTCTTAAAATTCTCAAATATTTAGAAATGTATACACACATTCTAAATTATTCATCCATCAAAAAAAGAAATTGTAATAAACGTTAAAAATACTTGTAACTAAATGATAAAGAAAATATTACAAAACTTGTGTGATGCAACAAAAGTTGAACATAGAGGGGTTTATACCCTAAAATTCCTGTGTTAGAAAAGAAGACTGAAAATTAGTAAGCTAGATATAAGATATATGTTAGGAAAAGAATAACCCAAAGAACATGGAAGACAATACAGGAAAGAGGAGAAATCAATGAAGTAGAAAACAAACTTACAATTAGAAAGATTTTTAAAAAGACAAGAGTTCTTCACTGAAAAGACTAATAATAAAGGAAAACTTCCAGGTAGATTAATTTAAAAAAAGACCGAAGGCCCAAATAAATAATATGAGGAGAAGTATAGGTAGAGCAAAGACTAAACTTTATGCCAATAAATTTGAAAACTTAGACAAAATGCAAAACATTCTAGAAGATATAACTTACCAAAATTGATGGAAGGAGAATTAGAATGCCTTAAGAGTCCTAAAATTAAAATAACTGAATTAATATTAAAAGATTCCTCCAAAGAAAACAAGTGATCCAAATGATTTTACGAATGAACTCTATCAGACTTTCAAGGGAGAGATCATTCCAATTTTAGGTCCTATCCTTCAGAGAATAGAAAAAGCAGAATACTCCCCAGTTCATTCCATGAGGACATTACAGTCTTGACACTGAATCCAGACAAGGAGAGGACAGAAAGGAAAATTAGTGGTAAGCTCACTCATCAACATAGGTTTTAAAACCCAATAAAATATTAGCATATTAAATATGGCAGTACACAAAAAAAGATAATACATCATGCCTTCAATGGGGGTATCCAAGGAATGTAAGAGTGGCTTAACATTACAAAATCTACAAATGTTATTGTCCACATTAGAAAATTAAACAGGGGACTTTCCTGGTGGTCCAGTGGCTAAGACTCCGCGCTCCCAATGCAGGGGGACTGGATTCGATCCCTGGTCAGTGAACTAGAGCCCACATGCTGCAGCTAAGAGTTCGCATGCCACAACTAAAAAGATCCCGCATGCTGCAACTAAGACCCTGCACAGCCAAATAAATATTTTTAAAAATATGAGAAATTTATTTTAAAAAATTAAACAGAAAATCACATTCAGAAAAATGTTTGATAAAATTAAACTTTCATTTATATTTAAAAAAAACAAAACAAAAAACAAAACTCTCAGCAAATTAAAGTTAAAGGGAACTTCTTTACCTTGATAAAGGATATCTACCCAAAACATACATCAAACATCATTCTTTATGAGAAGATATTAAAAGCATTTCCTTTAAAATCAGAAACAAGTCAAAGATGCCGACTTTTCATTTCTCTTCACTATTGTATTGGTGGTTCTAGCCAGCTTAGAAAAATCAGAAAAATAAAGGCATAGGATTTGGAAAGAAAGAATAACACTGACATTATTCACATATGATTATGATAATCTATGTAGAGAACTCAAAAATTTATATATATCATATATAATATGTATGTATACACAGTATAAAATGTATAATATATATCAAGACATAATAAGGGACTTTAGCAATGTGGATCAAATTGCAAAAATTAACTATATTTCCAAATATCTGTAATAGAATGTTAGAAATTTTAATTATAAAAGAATTATGGGGCTTCCCTGGTGGCGCAGTGGTTGAGAGTCCGCCTGCCGATGCAGGGGACACTGGTTCGTGCCCCGGTCCGGGAGGATCCCACATGCCGCGGAGCGGCTGGGCCCGTGAGCCATGGCCGCTGAGCCTGTGCGCCCGGAGCCTGTGCTCCGCAGGGGGCGAGGCCACAACAGTGAGAGGCCCGCGTACCGCAAAAAAAAAAAAAAAAAGAATTATGGCAGACTACTAATGATCTTTTCAAAACTTTTTACTCCTTCCAAAACAGGATTTTACTGAGCGCGAGGTCATCCAGGTAGAGATTACATTTCTCAGCTTGCTTCAGAGCTAAGTAGAGCTTTGTTAATAAGTATGAACCAATAAGATATGAGCAAATGTGCAACTTTCTAGCCATCTTTAAATTATAATCCTCTTACCCTAGATTTCTGGGCTTTTTTGTTTTTGTTGGGATGTTTTTGATAACTGCTTCAATTTCCTCATTAGTTATAGGTCTGTTAAGTTTTTTATTTGTTCATGATTTAATCTTGGCAGGTTGTATATTTCTATACATTTATCCATTTTTTCTAGGTTACCCAATTTGTTGACATATAATTGTTCACAGTAGCCTCTTATAATCCTTTTTATTTCTGTGATCAGTTATAATGTCTCTTCTTTCATTCTCAATTTTAGCTATTTGAGTCTTCTCTGCTTTTTTTCTTAGTCTAACCAAGGATTTGTCAACTTTGCTGATCTTTTCTAAAAACTAAATCTTCATTCTGTTGATTTGTTTTCTGTTCTCTATCTCATTTATCTCGTCTCTAATCTTATTATTTCCTTCCTTCTTGTAAGTTTGGGCTTAGTTTATTCTTCTTTTTCTAGTTTCTTGAGGTATAAGTTTATGTTGTTCATTCATAATCTTTTTCCTTTTTTTATGTGTTTACCATAAATTTCCCTCTTAGCACTGCTTTTGCTGCAATCTATAGGTAGGTTATATTTCTGTTTTCATTTGTCCCCAGATATTTTCTAAATTCCCTTGTGATTTCTTCTTTGACCCATTAATTGTTTAAGAGTATACTGTTTACTGTAGGAGTTTAAAAAAAGATAATCTGTATCAAATTAGGAAAGTTCCCTTCTCATAGTTTGCTAAAAATATTTTTAATCATGAATATAGAATTTCATTAAAATATCTTTTGCAATTATTAAAGTGAACATATGAGATTTCTCCTTTATTCTATTAATAAGATGAATGACACCGATTGCTTTTCTAACGTTAAATCAATCTCGCATGCCTTAGGTAAATCTGATATGATTGTGTTGCATTATCCTTCTTATATATCGCTGAATTTGAATTGGTAGTGTCTTGTTTAGAATTTTTACTTCTATTTTATAGGAAAAATTGGTCTATAATTTTACTTTCTTATAACGTCAAAGCTAGGTTTTAGAATCAAGGTTAGAGACCTCATAAACTGGGTCTTTAAGTGTTCCCTCTTCTCCTATTTTCTGGAATAATTTACGTAACATAGTTTTTTTTTTTTTTTTAAATGTTGGAAGAATTCACCAGTGTCAATTCTGTGTCAATTCTAAGTTGTGTTTTCTCTTTTCTTATATAATATTGGTAATTTCTCTCTCTCTCTGTCTCTTTCTCTCTGTCTCTCTCTCATCAGACTTGCTACACATTTATCAATTTTATTCACATTTTCAAAAAACTAACTTTTGGCTCTGTTGATTTTCTCTACTGAATATTTGTTTTCTACTTCATTGATTTCTGCTCTTTATTATTTCTTCCTTTTATTTTCTACATTTTAATTTGCATTTCCCTGATGACAAGTGATGTTATGCATCTTTTCCTGTATCTACTACCATTTGTATGTCTTCTTTGGAAAAATGTCTGCTTAGGTCCTTTGCCCACTTTTAAATTGGGTTATTTGGTTTTTTGCTATTGAGTTGTAGGAGTTCCTTATATATTTTGGATATTAACCCCTTATAAAATATATGGTTTCCAAATATTTTCTCCCATTCCATATGCTGCCTTTTCATTTTGTTAATTGTTTCCTTTTGCTGTGCAAAAGCCTGTAGGTTTGATATATCCTACTTGTTCACTTTGCTTTTGTTGCCTATGCCCTATCATCTGTTAAATCTAATCTATTATTGTATTTTTCAGCTCAATAATTTCTATTTATTTTTTGTAGATTCTAATTCTCTGATATAATTTTTCATCATTTTCTCTATTATCTTGAATATATTAAATATAGTTTTTTAAATCCCTGTCAAATAATGCCTATTTGGATCTTTTGTAGGTCTGCTGATATTGTCTGTTTCCTCTCTTGGTTTTTGTCATTCTTTGCCTGATAAGTTGTGCTTTTTAAAATTTATTTATTTATTTACTTATTTACGGCTGCATTGGGTCTTCATTGCTGCATGTGGGCTTTCTCTAGTTGTGGCGAGTGGTGGCTGCTCTTCATTGCGGTGTGTAGCCTTCTCATTTCAGTGGCTTCTCTTGTTGTGGAGCACAGGCTCTAGGTGCACAGGCTTCAGTAATTGTGGCATGCAGGCTCAATATTTGTGGTACACGGGCTTAGTGGCTTTGCGGCATGTGGGATCTTCCCAGACCAGGGCTCGAACCCGTGTCTCCCGCATTGGCAGATGGATTCTTAACAAATGCGCCACCAGGGAAGTCCAAGGTATATTTCTTTTAATGTCTGATAAGTTTTGATTGAATGCTTGAGACTGTGTACACAAACCTGTAAGGCTCTGGTTTATCTTATAGTTTTCCAAAGAAAATTTAATTTTCTTCTGGTAGGCATATCACTTTAATCCAGTCAAAACTGGGTTTTAACACAATAAATAGAAAGTGTAAAAGGATGAGCTAAAGATGAAATAAATAGCATGCCAAATGTCAAAAAAAATGGGGTTTTAGCCTTTTTTAAAAGCTAGTCTATTGTATGCCGTTATTACAGTGTGTAGCTCTTCAACAGTTTCAACTGAAAGCTTGTCTTTGCCAAGGGCTTTCCATCTTGGCAAGCCTTAAACTCCCTTCAACTCCCACCTCTGTCTCCCTGGCAAATGCTAAGTTACTGAAATCTCTGCTCAGTCCTTTAGCCTCCAAGAAGCTATTTTTCTGTTTCATGTCCTAAAATATTACCCAGCATACATGTCACTTAGAAACAGGCAAACACCTGTTGGGGAATTTGCTCACAGACATTTGGGCTCAGTTCTCTGCAGTTATTCCTTCAGAATCTCAGCCTTTTGAGTTGGAAATGATTGCTCTTGACAACTTAAAACACTGTTTTTTAAATACTTTTATTATTTTATATTTTTTTAAAAAATGTTTTTACTGTATATTAATATATATGTAATATTTTACTTTTATACTTATTTTATATATCATAAAATATATTTAAATTATTATTTTTATTTATTTATTTATTTATTTTTTGCAGTACGCGGGTCTCTCACTGTTGTGGCCTCTCCCGCTGCGGAGCACAGGCTCCGGACGCACAGGCTCAGCGGCCATGGCTCACGGGCCCAGCCACTCCGCGGCATGTGGGATCCTCCCGGACCAGGGCACGAACCCGCGTCCCCTGCATCGGCAGGCGGACTCTCAACCACTGCACCACCAGGGAAGCCCTAAATTATTTTTTATGATTAGCTCTTACGCGAATTCTTGGTAGTAAAGTTGGTCTGATATAAGTTATTCCATCATAATCAGAGATGGAAGTTCTCTGGGCCATTTTTTTGAAAGGTGTGACCACATGATCCTTTCAAACTTTAAATCAGATCACATTAAAATCATTCTTCTGTTAAAATCATGTAATCGCTCCTCATTTCAATCAAAGTTAAATATAAAGTCCCTTTCAGGGCCCCACAAGGTCAGATACTCCCTTACCTCTCTTACCTCATCTTCCACCCTCTGAGATTAGCCATACTTGACTCCTGATGTTTTTTTCCAACAGGTCAGGTACCATCCCACCTTGGGACCTTTGCTGGCCCCAAGAGAATAACATTTTCCCAGAGTTTAACTCCCTCACCTCTTTCAAATCTTTGCCCAAATATTATTGCCAACCACCCTATTTAAAATTGTAAATCATCCTTCTCTCCCCAGATCTCCTGATCTACCTTACCCTTTTCTATTTTTTGTTGTTGTTTCTACTGCACTTCCACCTTTTCAAATACTATGTATTGGGCCTTCCCTGGTGGAACAGTGTTTAAGGATCCGCCTGCCAATGCAGGGGACATGGATTCGGTCCCTGGTCCAGGAAGATCCCACATGCCGTGGAGCAACTAAGCCCATGTGCCACAATTACTGAGCTTGCGCTCTAGAGCCCGCGAGCCACAACTACTGAGCCTGCATTCTGCAACTACTGAAGCCCATGCACCTAGAGCCCGTGCTCTGCAACAAGAGAAGCCACTGCAATGAGAAGCCCGTGCACTGCAACGAAGAGTAGCCCCTCACTCATCGCAAGTGGAGAAAGCCTGCGCACAGCAACAAAGACCCAACACAACCAGAAATAATAAAAATAAAATAAAATAAAAATTTTAAAAGTAAGTTAAAAAAATAGTATGTATTTTAATATACTGTGTGATGGATTTGTTTATTATATTTAATGTTTGTTGGCTGTATTCTCTCACTAGAATGTAAGCTCCACGAGGGCAGGGATCTTTGTTTTGTTGAGAGATGTACTCTAGGCCTAAGAACTAGAACAATGAATGGCACAGAGTAGATGCTAAATTCATGTTTGGTGAATGAATGAATGAACGAATGAACTGCCTTCTTATATGACTCTGAAGGAAAAGCAACAAGTATTTATATTTACTGAAGGCTCCATATGTTGTAGGATTGGTACAGGCACTACAGAGATACAAAGGTGAATAAGACATAGTACCCAGCCCAGAAGAACCATAAAGTTGGCCTACTGGAAAATAGGCAGGCAAATATTCATTTGGGCCAAGATGCAAAACAAATGTCTTTTGTTCTAATTAACATTTATATTTTTATTTCATGTTACCTGTTGATTACAGAAGTTGTTTATAGCTGATGGAAATTCAGATAAAGGAAATATCCAAGAAGTTTATGAACTTCCACAGGCTAAACTTACAAAGCTGCTAACAAATCAATCTGACTGCCACTGACAATCTCAATAGAAGTCTTACTTAGTAATTTTCATTTTTGTTGTTTGTTTGGAGGTGCTCTATTAACTCCATTACTCCATAAGTGCAAAATCATGGAAGTGATGAATGCACTGTAAGAAGACAACTATGATTATGACAAAAATTAAAAATAAGTAAGGTTTAAAACATGTTATGCTGGTAAGGAAATAACTGTTGTGCACAGGTAAAGGATGAAACACTTGATAGTCTGAAGGACAGGTAACAGATAACATATAATGTTAAAGATGTAATGCTTAAAACAGTGTTTCTCAGTTGAGGGTGATTTTGCCACCCAAAGACATTGGGCAACATCTGGAGACATTTTTGGTTACCACACCTTGGGAGGTGCTAGTGGCATCTAGTGAGTAAAGGTCATGGATGCTGTTAAACATCCTACAATGCACAGGACAGACCCCCACAGCAGAATTATCCAGTCCAAAATGTTAATACTGTCACTGTTGAAAAATCCTATTTAGATAATAATCAACAGAAGGCAAGAAAATATAATGACAAAATGAAAGATGTTTGACTGTACAGCTCAAGAATCTTCACCACTGACTTTGGGTAAAATCACTTCAGGAAATGGCTAAGAATTTATTGGAGAACATAAATGCTAGACATAGGCACTGTGTCATATGCCATAAATGGTTCCTTTAGTAGGTTGCCCCATGAATCTGTAACACGTGAAGCAAGGAATGAGGCAGTAAGTGTAGATACCAGAGCTGCCAGGAAATTCTCCAAAATCTTGTAGGCATCATTAAAAGTGTAACTAACTGACTCAACAGTGTCTGTTTTTGAAAAACAAAATTCTGATTAAATGTATCAGAAAGATGGAAGTGAGAATGTCTGGTTTTAAAGCTTCAAAGGACAAACTCATACTCCAAATAGGTGGAAATGCTCCTTGGTGCTGTAAAGTCTCTTAGTCACCATGGAGTAGTTTTATGGGACCCAAACTGTTGGCATATAGATAGGTTTTTGTAGTTGGATGTTATAGGTACACAGGTTCATGAAAAAATTAATTAGAAGATAAGGCTAGAAAGGAAAATTAGGGGAAGACGGTAAAGAGTTCAAGGCCAAGCTAAGGAGTTCATACTTTAGTCTGTAGGTAACAAGTTGTTTTGTTTTTGTTTTTGTTTTTTGCGGTATGCGGGCCTCTCACTGTTGTGGCCTCTCCCGTCGCGGAGCATAGGCTCCAGACGCACAGGCTCAGCGGCCATGGCTCACGGGCCCAGCCACTCTGTGGCATGTGGGATCTTCCCGGACCGGGGCACGAAGCCGTATCCCCTGCATCGGCAGGCGGACCCTCAACCACTGCGCCACCAGGGAAGCCCAACAAGTTGTTTTTGAAGAAGGGAGTGATGTGATTAGAGGCCAAGTTTTAGGCTTTTGTTGTAGTGTTAAAGGACTTCCAAGGTCAGAAACTCTTAAAGCAAGACCATTTTGCAGGTTATGCAACAGTCCACATGAGAGATGATGAGGGCCTATCCCAGGGTCCTGAGAGGTATGCCTGTTAGCATAACTGATGCCATCTTGGGTCCACACAGTTTCTCCTGTCCTCCCACTGACCTTACCCGGGACTGTACTGTGCAGTCAATCACTTCTCTGTTGTTAAGGGCTTTGTAGTTAATAGATATTGCTTAATAATCATTAGGACCAGGTGACCTCTATGCCCTGTTAGCCTCCAAACAATGATGAAGACCTCCCTGACATATTCCTGGCGTCCATGAGAATAGTTACCCTTTCATAAATCTTGACTTAGGAATACACTTCCTGTTTTCAAGCACACACTCCCCATGCCCTAGGTTAACTATAGAGTTGTCTCAATGGCCCCTCGGCAGTGTGGAGTGTGACTACACACGTTTCCAGATGGCTGTCCGCTCAATCCCATCCTGTGAGTAAGTTACCATATAATAAGCTGATCCATTGATTATGTGGAGCTGCCTGCCTCGGGTTTTGGTCTCAAGATGCCTTCTCAGTTCGGTAGGCACTTTTTGTTCCCTCCATCCTCCAACATGAGATAATAATGGTATGTATATATTGAACACAACATCCACTAAGTTTATAAACAAAGCTTAAAAGAAACATGAACAAAACAAAGACAATTAAGTCAATGGAAAGAAAGGAAGTTTAAAAAAGATAAGTATGGAATAGTTAATAAGACATGTGGTAGGAGAAAAAAGATGACCCAGCTACCTTTTGAGTTGTCCTGAAGTAGTGCCACAGTACATGCTGGCTTAGTCTTCTTTAACCTAAAATTATATATTATCATAAATTCACTCTTACATAAATCCAGGGTACATTGATTTTTTTAAATACAGTAAGAGATAAGAAGCTTGCTTTCAGTGAAATTCACTTGTTGAAGGACATCATATGAAAATTAAATAAACGTTAAAGAAAGGAAACTCCTTCTATCAAGGAAACTCCTTCTATCACAAATAATCCAATCAGAAGCAGATATGAACCAACTCAGTATCTCGATCTTTGTTAATAAATTTTACCAGTGGTAAAATTGTGTTAGGTCTGACTTTTCCCACCTTTATCTTATCACGAATCATGATTCAGGAAATGCTAGAGGAAGGGACTCAAGACTAGATGAACATGGTATCTAGATATGCCAGATACCAATTATCAGTTATTTGTGCTCTTTTTACCTATTAATTACCACAATCTGAGTTTTGTCATAATTAACTTTTGTTCCTATTGGAATAGATATAGATAATGAGTAGGTTATTAGAGGAAATATGTCACGATTGAATCTGCTGTGGGCGAGATAACCCATAAGAATTCCAAATTTCTTGTAACTTCATTAAACTTTAGAAGTCAGCTATAACTTTTTTTTTTTTTGTTCTCTATTCAATCAAAACATATATTAGTTCTCAATCCATGTGATACAGTTTAATGAAGTCAGCTTACACGGCTGCTTGGAGGTATCCTAGCAACTTATTACCATGGCAACATCACACTTCCTAGTTGTCAAATATGGGTACAGTCAAGATGAGTCGACCTAGTATTCACACTGAGGTTTGGAACTCAAGACCAGCCTTAATGATTGTTATGTGATAAGGTTTTAGTGGTCCCTACGGACACGCCTCAGATTCTTTTCCACCTACTGACTGATAACTGAAATTCTATGATTCATCTCCTTAGCATGAAAGGCTTTATGTCCTTCAAAAAACATAGAACATCCATTTTTTTAAAACAGTGTCCAATATCAGAACAAATATCTTTGTGTATTGGCTGCATGGAACTTTTAAAGATAACACTGGTGAGTTGAGAGGTCATATTGCTTCAGTTTCATAATATTAATTTAAGGGAATTAAACTCACAAATCATCGTTTCAGGTCTGCTAGCCTGCCAGCTAGAGGCAGTTTGTCATACCGCAGGATAGCTGTAATTTTTAAATGCACTTCACCTCGGAGACTATTTTCAGTTATATTATCAAAGTATGCCTTGAGATTCACTGAAAAATTTCATCATTTAAGAAATTTAAAAACACATTAAACTTTTATCAGAGTTTTTAAATCAAATATCCACATATGGAGATTTTTTTAAAAAAAGGATACAGGGTTATATACAAGACAGACAAAAATTAGTACTTCCCTGCTTTGCCAAGACTGTTCTTTCACAAGGCGTTGTTCAATATGCAGAGAATAAAATACTTGTAGGCAACCCGACATGTTCTCGGTAGAATGGCTAAAATAAAGACACGGAAAAGAACCAACATTTACGTTCGCCAAGCAGTTCATAAGCAGTGTGACACTCAGCCACCACTCTTCCACTTTGTGTCTGAAGAACACTTGTCATAACACGAATATAATATAGTCAAATTATTCTTCATTAAATTAAGTAAATTCACACTCAAGTCAACATAAAATATTAAGGGATCATTTCACAAACAGCCAAATTGCAAATGAAAAAAATAATGAACTGAAATTGGATGAAAAAGGAAGCAAATTGAAGACTTAAAATCTAGAGGCCCAATGGGTTAATTGTTGGTGCTTTCTGGGTTTCCAGTTTCTTTAAGATGATCATATGCATTGAAAGACTGGTCTGTACTGAGACAAGTCCATGGCCATAGGCAGCCCTACATACGTTTGCCCAGAGGTCAAGAGTGAGCTGAATGTCAGGGATACAGGTGTCTCGGTAACAGTGGAAACTCACTGCCCTTAAGTAGGTTTCATATTCATGTTTCCAATGGTGTCTCCTCTTTCTACATCCCTGCCATCCCTCCTCTTTAACTGCTACCATCTACTCCACTAGCAACTCACAATCTCTCTTCTACCATCTCTGATTCTGCCTTATTTCACCATAACCTCACTTCAGAAAGAGTAATTTTGCTTTTTATATTTTTATAGCTTGACAATCTGTCCTCGAATGATATTAAAAATGATGGTGGGGGGGCTTCCCTGGTGGCGCAGTGGTTGAGAGTCCGCCTGCAGGGGACACGGGTTTGTGCCCTGGTCCGGGAAGATCCCACATGCCGCGGAGCGGCTGGGCCCGTGAGCCGTGGCCGCTGGGCCTGCGCGTCCAGAGCCTGTGCTCCGCAACGGGAGAGACCACAACAGTGAGAGGCCCGCGTACCGCCAAAAAAAAAAAAAAAAAAATGATGGGAAAAGCTTTATGTATGTTATTGTTCATTATGGTGTTATTTGCAAAATCAAAAAAATGTCAAAGCAACTTGAAAGTCCAACAATAGGGAAATTAAATAAACTATGGCTCTAACAATGAAATTTAATGTGGCCAGTAAAGACTGTTTGAAGATTATGTCATAACATGAAAAAAATGCATACGTGTAATATTAAGTAAAAAAGGGCAGAATAAAAAATTGTAAGTACACTAAAATCACAACTCCAATAAAAATCCAAAATGAAGGAGGGTAGAAGAGAACCTCCAACAATAAAAATGGATATGTTAGGATGGATAAATTATCAAATAATTCTTTTTATTTTTTCCCCAAATTTTCTACAAAGTTCTTATTTTCATAATTTAGATATAAACTATCCACAACTTTTCATTTTCAGTATATTCTAATTCTTTATTTATATTACCAAAATTTGTTTCCAGAGTAATTAACAAGACCAGTAATACTAGTGGATAACTCAAGAAATATATTCTGAAATTCCAATATGTGTGTGCTATGCATAACTAGATGACTTCAAAGCACACTATGGCAGGAGATAATATGAAAATATACATCCTCCCCTAAAGAGAGCTACAACCCAGACTGCTATAAATGCTTCATCTTTTTTTAGGCTGGAAAAATGAATTAGTACTAGGCATTCAATAAATACTTGATGAATAAATAAATAAATCAAAGCAGAAACCAAATAGGATATGAGACTGTCTTACTAACTTACAGGTCCCTTTGGAGAAAGAAGTTTTCTTTTAATGCTATGTCAGGCAATCTGATTTAAAGTAGGAAAGGTGTTTATCATAATGTGTTTAAATGCCAGTATTCAAAGTCAGTGGGACTTTTCTGGCTGACAAACTCATTTCATCTGATAGCAATGCAAGGTCTTCATTAGGCTGACATCTCATTCAGGATCTCCCCTCACACCACTTCGGTCAAACTAGAAATGAAACACAAGGTTCTCTATTCAGGGTACAGAAACCTGTAAATATTGCAGAGCTCATTTATTTATATTGCTAAAAATTCCAATATTCTCATGAGCAATCTATGCTAAAGCAATAAAGATTTTTTTAAGTAAGTCCTTAAATTCCTTCTGGCAATGTCACTTGAAAACAGAAAAAAGTACCTACTGGTCAAACTCAATAAAATTGCTAATTGAGATTTTTTTAAAATTAAATCCTTTATGCAAAAAATAGTAGGCAAGAAAGAATTAGATTCACTAGCCAGAAAAACCTCTACATTCAGCAGTGTTACTATAAATAAATATTCAACAAAAGAGAATCGAAAAGAAGTGACCTACCTGACAGGCGGCATCTCGGTATCAGCACGCAGGAGTCCTTTATGAACCTCTGGTGGAGTGGAACTTACACTTTTTTGGCAATTTTGCAATCCTGGTAAATATGGCATTTTGACACATTCTTTGAATTCTTCTAGACCAAATGCTGTGGTGTATTCTAATTAAAAATAGTATAATAACCATCTGTATTACTTCTTAATTAAATGTATGTAATTTTTTTTACTATATACTAAAATGTATAATAAATATATCAAATCAGTCATTAAGAAAATAAAATTAAGCTACTGTAATTGAGCTAGCATCTTTCCCAAGAGAATACCTTTCAATTCCGAGGATAGGGACTGTAGGCAAGAGCTGACTAAGTCGCTAAGAACTATTAGAAAAAGGAAGAAGGGCAGCTTCACAGATCTCCCATAGTCATCACTGTCCTTCATTATTTTATTTAATCAGAATTCCCAGAACATCAGATACATTCACATTGAAAGACAGATTAAAGGCACTTTCAAGAATCTTGTAATATCTGCTACTTTAAATCCTTTCACCTTCCTGCTTTCATGTAGAAATCAAGAGGTACAAATACATGATTATCGGAGCTAGCAGTGAGAGAGAAAAGAATTCCATTTCAGGCATTGATTTTAACTTTCACTCTGCAAAGTCCCCCATCAAATCTATAAACAGCAACATCTGAAGCATCAGGAGGGCTTCTTCTACTGACCTCAGGTATCACTGGTATAAGACGGTTGTTCAAATTTTTCTTTTTTTAAAAAAAAATTCAAAATGAAGACAGTAAATGGAAAAAGAAGATTAAGAGATTAAAGGTTTGGATGATTTTTAAACATAGAGAATTGTTTTCTAAGCTTTCTCTACTAAGTAAATCTAGCATAGCAATAGAAATAGTATTTAATGGGACTAGAGTAATATTAAATGCTCAAAATGCTATTTTTCAACCTTTGATTATTCTTTTTTGGAAAAAATAGTTTCTCTTGATCAAAATCATGTAGAGTTTCTTTTCAGTAATTAGATTTGGAGGTAGGAGAACAGATAAACTGTGTATCTTTAATAGGAATCTAGTAAAAATGTCGAAAAAATACAGTAACACACTCAAAACCAGGAGTGATGAAATGGCTGGGGAGTTTGAATTTTGCTGTTTTCAAGAATTCTATCTCCATTAATAAAGCCAAAGGCAAAATTCAGTATAAACAAAAAATACAATTATAATTTGAAATTAAGGGGGAAAGTTATTACACTCATATACAAGTCAAAAGTTCTGAAATTAGTCTTTATTGAGCAACTATAAGATATAAGATACTTTCCACATAGCTCACTCAAAAAATAAAGTTTGGGTTAGAATTATTAATACAAAAAGGTGCTGTTAAAGATTTGAGTTTCTTAAAATATAAATACCAACTTGAGGTATTTTAAAACAAACATGACTTACAAAAAGAAGTATGATCCAACAGAGGTAGCACTACACTGATATCAAGAGTAGTTCTTTAGAATTTGTTTTTTATCATGAGTTATAGAATTACCTTAAGTAAATTATTCCTTATCTGCTTCCATTTTTCTTTTCCATAAGCCTATGGTATTATCCTTCTTACCTAAATGTTACAAAAATTATTTAATGTCTCTTGACTGATTAAAAAAGTACATGTAAATTCAAGGTACTACTTCTATATTTTTGTAAGTAAAATAAGAATAAAATGAAGTTACCTTTCCTCATCTTTTGTGTTTCTAAAACTGCTTTCCTCCAACTTCTCTCAAAAAGAAAACAACTGTCAAGGGAATTTCTGGTGACATTAGAAGGTTCAAGTTTGATTTCAGGAGGCAGCATTGGCATTTTTTCTTCTTTTTTCAACAGTGCTGATGAAAGTAAGATGCTGCACCAGATTCAAGACACAAAATACAAAAAAACAAATTGTTTTCCATCATACAAATTAAATACTAACATAGATTTAAATGAAAAGTTTACTTATAACACGTAAATACATATTCTTGGGATTTTAAAGCAAGAGGCCTTTAAGAACATAGCTAAAATAAGTTGTAAGACTTTTTTCTTTTAAATATTTTATATTTTAATGAATTCTTTCAAATTTGAGGTTACAGATATTTGGCAATATAAAAAAATCTAAGGTTCAACAGCAAATTATCATGTACATGACAATGTAATGCTTAGGATTCTCTCAAAACTATTACCATTATGCACCATGACCAAGTGAGATTTATCTCTGGGATGCAAGTATGGTTCAACATACAAAAATTAATTAATATGATATACCACATTACAGAATGAAAGATTAAAAAATCACATGCTCATCTCAATAGATACAGAAAAAGCTTTTGATAAAATTCAACACACTTTCATACTAAAAACTTTCAACAAACTAGGAACTGAGAGAAATTACCTCAACATAAAAAAGGCTGTATATGAAAAGCCCATAGCTAACATAATCAAAGGTAAAAATTGAAAGCATTCCTCTAAGATCAGGAGCAAGGCAAGGATGCCCACTCTCACAACTTCCATTCAACATAGTATTGGCAGTCCTAGCCAGAGCAATTAGAAAGAAAAGGCATCTAGATTGGAAAGAAAAAAGTAAAACTGTCCCTGTTTTCAAATGGCATAATCTTATATATATCAAAAACTCTAGACTCCACAAAAAAATGTTAGAACTAATAAAGGAATTCAGGAAAGCTGAGGGATACAAAATTAACAAACAAAAGTCACTTGCATTTCTATACACTAACAACAAACTATCTGAAAAGGATATTAGGAAAACAATCCAATTTATAATAGCATCGAAAAGAGTAAACTACTTAGGAATAAGCTTAACTAAGGGAGTAAAAGATTTGTATGCTGAAAAACTATAAAACATTGATAAAAGAAATTAAAGAAGCTGCATACAAATGGAAAGACATCCCATGCTCATGGATTGGAAAACTTAATATTGTCAAAATATCCACATTACCCAAAATGATCTACAGAGATTCAATGCAATCCTTATCAAAATGCCAATGTAAAAGAATTTAAAATTTTACTAAAAACAATTTAAAAATTCATATGGAATATAAATCAATGAATTTAGAACACTCCGTCACACCATACACAAAAATAAACTCAAAATGGCTTAAAGACTTAAATATAAGACATGACACCATAAAACTCCTAGAAGAGAACATTGGCAAAACATTCTCTGACATAAATTGTAGGAGTATTTTCTTAGATCAGTCTCCCAAGGCAATAGAAATAAAAGCAAAAGTAAACAAATGGGACCTAATCAAACTTATAAACTTTTGCACAGCAAGGGAAACCATAAACAAAACAAAAAGACAACCTACAGATTGGGAGAAAATATTTGCAAATGATGCAACCGACAAGGCTTAATTTCCAAAATACACAAACAGCTCATACAGCTCAACATCAAAAAAAACAAACAATCTGATTAAAAACTGGGCAGAAGACCTAAATTAAAAACTGGGCATAAGACATTTCTCCAAAGAAGACATACAGATGGCCAACAGGCACATGAAAAGATGCTCAACATCCCTAATTATTAGAGAAATGCAAATCAAAACTACAATGAGGTATCACCTCACACCAGTCAGAATGGCCATTGTAAAATAAGTCTACAAATAATAAATGCTGGAGAGGGTATGGAGAAAAGGGAACCCTCCTACACACTGTTGGTGGGAATGTAAATTGGTACGGCCACTATGGAAAACAGTATGGAGGCTCCTTAAAAAACTAAAAATAGAGGTACCATGTGATCCAGCAATCCCACTCCTGGGCATATATCCAGAGAAAACTCTAATTAGAGAAGATACAGGCACTGCAATGTTCATAGCAGCACTATATACAATAGCCAAGACATGGAAGCAACCTAAATGTCCATTGACAGATGAATGGATAAAGAAAATGTGGTAAATATATATACAAGGGAATATTACTCAACCATAAAAAAGAATGAAATAATGCCATTTGCAGCAACATGTATGGACCTAGAGATTATCATACTAAGTGAAGTAAGTCAGACAAAGACAAATATTATACCATATCACATATGTGGAATCTAAAAAAAAGTACAGATGAACTTATTTACAAAACAGAAACAGACTCACAGACATAAAAAACAAACATATGGTTACCAAAGGGGAAGAGGAGGGAGGGATAAGTTGGGAGTATGGGATTAACAGATGCCCACTACCATATATAAAATAGATAAACAACAAGGATTTACTGTATAGCACAGGGAACTATGTTCAATATCTTGTAATAAACTATAATGGAAATGAATTGAAAAAAAAGAATACAGATATATACATTTACATGTATAACTGAGTCACTCTGCTGTACACCTGAAACTAATGCAGTATTGTAAATCAACTATACCTCAATTTAAATAAATAAATAAATAAAAATGAATATGGATCCCAAAGGACCCCAGATAACCAAAATAATCTTGAAAAAGATGAAAGTTGGAGGCATCAAACTTTTTGATTTCAAAATATGTCACCAAGCTAAAATAATTAAAACAATATAATACTGGCATAAAGACAGACATTTGGGTCAATGGAACAGAATAGACTCCAGAAATAAATCCATACATATACAGTAAACAGATTTTTGCCGAGAGTGCCAAGAATACACAATAGGGGAAGGATAGTCCCTTTAACAAATGGTGTTGGGAAAACTGGATATCCACATGCAAAAGAATGAAGTTAACCCTTATCTTACACCATACACAAAAATCAACTCAAAATGAATTAAAGACATAAACCTAGGACCTGAAAGTGTAAAACTCCTAAAAGAAAACACAGGGATTAAAGAAGGTGTGGCCAAGATGGTGAAGTAAGAAGATCCTGAGCTCAACGCCTCCCACTGACACACCAAAATCACAACTATTTACAGAGCAACTATAGATGAGAAAGACCAGAAGATTAGCAGAAAAAGATCTACAACTAAAGATATAAAGAAGGAACCACAAGGCAGGTAGGAGGGGCAGAGATGTGGTACGGTTGAGACCACATAACACCAGGTGGGCAACCCACAAATAGGAGGATAATTACAGTTTGCAGAGGTTCTCCCCAGGGAGTGAGGAATCTGAGCCCCACATTGGGATCCCCAGTGTGGAGGACCTACACCAGGAAGATGAGCTCCCAGAATGTTTGGCTTTGAAGGCCAGTAGGGCTTAAGTTCAGAGAACCAGAGGGCTGTGGGAAATAGAGACACAACTCTTAAAAATCTACACAAAATCTCACACATCCAGGACCCAGGGCAGAAGCAGTAATGTGAAAGGAGCCTGGGTCAGACACACCTGCTTATCTTGGAGAACCTTCTAGAGAGGTAGGAGTCCCCTGGAGCTCACCCTGGGGACATAACTGATGGGAGCCATTCAGGGACTCTCGTTCTACCACAAGGACAGTGGTGCTGGCAAGTGCCCTTTTGGAGTCCTTCCTCTAGTTCATTAGCACTGGGAACCAGCCCTGCCCATCAGCCTTTTGACATCACTACTGGGACGCCTCAGGCCAAGTAACTGGCCAGGCAGGGAGGCAACCTCACCCATCAGCAGGCTGGCTGCCTTAAGAACCCCTGAGCCCACAGCTGCCCCAGGACCTGGCTGCACACACCAGTGTACCAGCATTAGCCCTGGGACCAGCCTCACCCACCAGTGGGCAGGCAACAGCCCCAGGACCCCAGGGCCCTGGTCCAACCCACCAGCAGGCCAACACACCAACCCTGGGACACGCAAGGCCCTACAGCCAGAGACCCCAGGACCCAGCTCTGCCCACCAGTGGGCCAGAACTAGGCCTAGGACCCAGACTCACCCACCAGTGGGTGGGCACCAGCCCCAGGATCCTGTGGGCCCCAGCCTGGCCCACCAATAATTCTAAAATGTATATGGAAGCACAAAAGGTCCAAAATAGCCAAAATAATCTTGAGAAAGAACAAAGCTGGAGGTATCATGTTCTCTGACTTCAGATTATACTACAAAGCTACAGTAATCAAAGCAGTATGGTACTGGCACAAAAACAGACATATAGCTCAATGGACCAGAACATAGAGGCCAGGAATGAGCCCACACTTATATGGGCAATATGCTATAAACATGTAGGTGAAAAGCCCAGAAGGCTGCTTTTTTTTTTTTTTTTTTTGCGGTACGTGGGCCTCTCATTGCTGTGCCCTCTCCCATTGCGGAGCACAGGCTCCGGACACACAGGCTGTGCGGCCATGGCTCACAGGGCCAGCCGCTCCACGGCACGTGGGATCTTCCTGGACTGGGGCGCGAACCCACGTCCCCTGCATCGGCAGGCGGACTCTCAACCACTGCATCACCAGGGAAGCCCCAGAAGGCTGCTTTTTAAAAAGATGATTCTTACCTCTTCACATATCTCTATTCGCCTGGAGAACAGAACGGGGAGCAGAAGAGCTAAAACCTTTCAGCCAGCTCTTGCCTCAGTTAGTATCACTACAGAGTGGACAAGCAGCCTTCTGGGCTTTTCGGCTACATGTTAATAGCATCCTGTCATTCTCTTCACAGCACTTATCATAGTTTATAATAATGTATTTATATGTCATTATTGTCTGTCTCTGACACAGGTATGTGAATAAAACTCCAAACTCTATTTTGCCAGCTCTTTCGTTTTGCAAACAGAATCCCCTAGGATCTGTTCCCGACCTACCTTTGCAATCTTGTCACTAGACAGTTCCCCCTCTCCCATACTCTAATTCAGGGGTCAGCAAACTGTCCCCAGGTCAAATCCAGCCTGCTACCTGTTTTAGTAAGTACCTTCGCATTGGAACACAGAAACAAATGTCCATTTGTACATATTTCCTATAGCTTCCTTTGGCCTTCAAGAGCAGAGTTAAGTAGTTGCAAATG